CAGGGTAGCAGACAGCTGGCACCCACCTATCGCCTCCATACTCTCTACTAGCAGCGTGCTACCCTCCTATCTCCCCATACTCTCCCAACTGTCTGCTACTCTCCTATCGCCCCACGTCTCCACTCCTGGACGCTGCTGGTCGCTGGTGGACGCACGCTGCTTGTGGACTCTGCCGCAAAGTATAAACGCAGCATAATATGCCGTAGCAGAGCCTAGCTCCATCGCTACGTGGCCTCAACGTGGCCAAAGGCACGCTAGCGTGAACCCTTCCTTTTGAAGGCTGAGTGTGAGTATGGTCACTCAAAAGCAACGTAACTTTGTCCACATGGGTCCGCAGCTGATATGGAAGCCGATTTCAAAATCATCGTCAAGTGGCCAAAGTTCTACCTCCACTCCATATTCCGGAATTGGAGGGGGCGTAGCTACGTAAATCATCTGAACATGGCGTAGGATACATTCCTCATGAGATAGTGCCATTTGAAACGGCTGCCATCCTGCCTAGCGCTATTCAAAGGCATGATTACAACTGTCCGAAGACGAGATGATCCCTTAGAAATAATTTCCGCGTCCAGATAAGGTACACGTCCACGCCCTCCCCATGTTCGTGTTATCCTCCTCTGTCTCTTGTAAGAGTAATACCTACCGGAAAACCGAAGTGATCGACTTGGTATCCCGTGATGATGCGAATCGTCCACAAGGCGTTACTCTCGGCTGTATGGGGCTCGATCAGTGATAGGCACTCGATAAGGTTCTGTAAAACAAAAATGATCATCCCAAAGTACTAACTGACGTTTAGCAATTCAGAATTTACACTCTATCTGCTTATAGTCTTTGATTCTGTGAAAGTGGGACCTCATTAGGGGTTTTATATCAAATAGGCCCGGTTGGATGAATTTGTCTGGTATCCGCAGGATCAAAGCTTCTATTCAACCGAGGTCGGCTAGATGATGACAGTGCAAAAGATGTAGCTCTCAATGTTAATGAGGCCCTTTGTGTGACACTCACATGTTGGAAGACGTTCCATGCTAGTCGTGTGGGCGGAACTGGACCCTCTTCATTGGCGCATCTTTTATACTTCTTTTTTCCCCTTTTCTGCTATTTCATCCTTTATCAAAAAATATAGGAAGTTATGTCACAGCGA